TGTGTGTGTGTGTTTGTCTGTGTGGTACAGTACAAGTTGTACTATATAAAAGTAGTACAATACCGATTGTAGGCAGTTGGTATTGTACCATATAATAGTCTACTCTGATGTAAAAATGCACTTTTGGGCTGTTCTTCTGTGTAAAGCAGATTTCTCAGAACTGCTAACTTTCTAAATTAGCTTTTACTAAACTGTGAATGAATATTGTACCTGCTAATATCTGTTTTAAGACTGCTTTTGTTTCTCCTCTTTCAGGGTAAATATGTGGTGTGCTTTGATCCACTAGATGGCTCTTCCAATATAGACTGTTTAGCCTCAATAGGAACAATATTTGCAATTTATAAGAAGGTAAGCAGCTGAAAAGAAGTGGAATAGTTAATAGTAATATCCAAAAATGCAGAACAAATATCTTGTAATATCGCATTTTATTAATGCCATTTATAGATTGCCAGAAAAAGCATTCACTTTACGGAATTTTCCCTCAAATTGATAGTCATCAAGGTTGTTGAATTTGTGCCATACCAGGTTGAAGAACTCTTTGGTGAAACAACAGGCCTAGGAAACAACTCTGGATCAGATCCAAATATATGTTCAACTAATCCTATAAAATCTGATGTTGCTGGCATTAGTTACCTCACGTTCTCAAGAAGAGAGGTGAACTGGAGTTATGGTGGTTGATCCTCTTATCTTCTATATATAAGACATGTTATATTCTCACCACTGAGCCACATTTCTTCAGTCAATTATACTCTGTGACCCCAAGACAGCTAAAGTAACAAACGTGAAATGGCAGTCAGGGTCTTCCATGTTTTCTTGCTTTTAAATAATACAGGTAGTCCTCAACTTACAGCAGTTCATTTAGTGACCGTTCGAAGTTACAACAGCACTGAAAAAAGCGACATGACTATTTTTCACACTTACGACCGTTGCAGCAACTGATTCATATTGTCCCAGGGTCCTGGGATCCCCTTTTTCGACCTTCTGGCAAGCAAAGTCAATGGGGAAGCCAGATTCACTTAACAGCCTTATTCTGTTTCTGAACTGAGTTGCCTTCCAATTCAGACCCAGATAGATAACGCAACAAATGGATTTAAACAAATATTTAATCCAGGAATCCTTAACAGAAACTTACATTCCTGAAGATACGTCCAGTAGTGAACATTTGTCCATTATGTTGGTAAAATCAATAATCTCTCCATATTCACTTGTGCCTGATTACATTCAATGTCCAAGCGTGCTGCATGATTGGTTTGCACAAAGACAAAGGCATTCCAAACTGGCACATGGCCAGGATATCCTGTGATGAACTTTAGTGGCTCCTCCTACATACTTGTTAACATGGGATAGCTAACTAGCTAAAACTACATTACCCATAAGCCATCTCTTAAGGAGACAGCGCTTAACCCAATAAATGCCAAACATTCTAACATGCAGGTCTATCTAACTGATTGATCCAGAACAAGCCTTGTAACTAACTTAACTGCAGTGATTCACTTAACAACTGTGGCAAGAAAGTTTGTAAAATGGACCACCTGTCACAGATTAGCAGCAGGAATTTTGGGCTTCAGTTGTGACTGTAAGTTGAGGACCGCCAGTATCTGCAAAAGGCATCACTTTTGGGATCTTCAAGGTAGTTCTATAGATGCAAATTGCATGTGAAAGAGAGTATAAATACCTCATCAATTAATGGTGGCAAAGTATTGCAAGTCAAAATCCATTTTTGGTTGGGACCTTCCAAGGTGGCCTAAAGTGTTTTGTTGTATGTTGCTTCAGGAGCTTCTCACTTAATTGTGCTAGTAAAGTTTCTCCCCCCCCACCCCCAAAAGACTCTTTGAGATCTGTAATCGAGTGTCCCAGGAAATTGAAGTGTTCTGATTGTCTATGCGTGTGCATGCCTTTGAGTCTGTATTGGTTCGTGATTACTGCCTGGACATGTCCCCACAGTTTTCTTCACAAGATTTCAGAAGTAGTTTGTTATTGCCTGTTTCCTAAGGCTGAGAGAGATTGGCTCAAAGTCACCCAACTGACTAAAACTCCTTGTCTCTAGCCTGAGGCCTTAACCCAGGGGTAGGCAACCTTGGTTCTTTTATGACTAGTGGACCAACTCCTAGCATTCCTGAGCCAGCCATGCTGGCTCAGGAATGCTGGGAGTTGAAGTCCACAAGTCATAAAAGAGCCAAAGATGCCTACCCCTGCCTTAACCACTATACCCAACTGGTTTTGATATTACTTTGTCTTTATTGTGTGTCCTGATGTGACCAGCATGGGTTGTTGTTTATTAATAATTGATTTAAGTGTGTTGAACTATGAACTGTAAAGTGACAAACAGTGGTCTTTCTTGTCGTAATCCTCCCTGGAACGTTATCTGAATATATTGATTTGTATATGGATCTTGTTGGATGGATCGTCAGTCTTCTGACTGCTGTCAATTGAGCATCTCAATCTCTGAGTGGGTCAGAATAAATGAAATAACAGTATAATGTACAGTCTGCCTATAGATCATCGATTGGTATTGAAACAAGCAATACTAGCATGGGAAACAGACTCTGCTGTGGAACACTTTAGGATGTTCCATCCTGCATATATTAAAACCAGACTGCTCTTCCGTTATCCATACATTAAAGAAAAAATAGAAAGCAATCTATGTGATATTGGACATATTATATAGTTTAACATTAAATCCCAGGAATATGTTCCAATCTTTTGGTAGAGAGATGTAGCCCAGCATTTCTAGTAAAAGATCAGATCACACCTAAAAGTTATCTGATCAATTTAGGGCAGAGTCCTGATTTGCTAAGCCTTTTGCACTAATTATCTGGAATAATGATTAAATAACCATCCAGTATCACATACTCTTTAACTTTTTGCAGTTGTGTTCTTCGGGCTGTTCTGAATGTCTGAAATTGTTCCAGATTAAATGTGGTTTCTGGCAATTTGTGCATATTATAACCCGCACTTTGTTATGAAACCAATCTTAAATTGCCAGAGAGAATTTCAGTATATCCCTATCAAGCCCCAATAAGGCTTGAACTCACAGAGTGTGCATCTTTGACCTAAAAAGATTTGTTTCAAAGGACATTTTCTATTGATGGCTAGCTGTTATTAAACGTAAGCTAATAGTAATTATTAGCCATTTGCAAATAGACTTAACACAGGCATTGAGTCTCACAGTGACATTTGGAATAAGTAAAGGGACAATGTATTCAGTGTTTCATTTAATTTCCTGTTATTGAAGATTGATTATTAACATGGGCAAGTTACTTATACAAATAGATCCAGGAAACCACAGACCTATCAGCCTGACCTCAATACCTGGGAAGATTCTGGAAAAGATCATCAAACAACGAATCAGCGAACACCTAGAACAAAGTCATTACTAAAAGCTGACATGGGTTTGTCAAAAACAGATCATGCCAGACAAATCTTATTGCATTCTTTGACCAAGTGACAAAATTAGTGGACCAGAGGAATGCTGTGGATATAATTTACTTGGACTTCAGTAAGGCATTTGATAAAATAGATCACAACCTACTACTTGATAAGATAGAAAAATGTGGGTTAGACAGCATCACCACCAGATGGATTCGTAGCTGGCTGACCGGCCGTACTCAGCATGTGGTCCTCAATGGAACTGCATCTACATGGAGGGAAGTGTGTAGTGGGGTGCCCGGGCTCTGTTCTGGGCCCAATGCTCTTCAACATTTTCATCAACGATTTGGATGAGGGGATAGATGGGGAACTCATCAAATTTGCAGACGACACCAAGCTGGCAGGAATAGCCAACACTCCAGAAGATAGGCTTAAGATACAGGAGGATCTGGACAGACTTGAACACTGGGGGCTATCTAACAAAATGAAATTCAATGGTGAAAAAAGTAAGATTCTACATTTAGGCAAGAAAAACCAAATGTACAGGTATAGTATAGATGGTATCTTGCTCAATAGTAGTAACTGTGAGACGGGTCTTGGAGTCCTAGTGGACAATCCCTTAAATATGAGCCAGCAGTGTGCTGCAGCTGCCAAAAAAGCCAACACAGTGCTAGGCTGCATTAACAGAGGGATAGAATCAAGATCACGTGAAGTAT